CCGCGGCCGCCTCCGGGGACCGGGGAGGGCGCGCCGGTGTTCCTCACGGGGCCCCGCTCCCAGTGGGTGCTGCGGGGGGCGGAGGTGGTGCTGACGTGCCAGGTGGGGGGCCTCCCCGAGCCCACGCTGTACTGGGAGAAGGACGGGATGGCGCTGGACGAGGTGTGGGACAGCAGCCACTTCGCGCTGGAGCCGGGCCGCGCCGTGGGTGGCCCGGGCGTGCGCCTGGCGCTGCGCATCCCGGCGGCGCGGCTGCCCGACTCGGGCGTCTACGTGTGCCACGCCCGCAACGCGCACGGCCACGCGCAGGCCGGCGCGCTGCTCCAGGTGCAGCAGCCCCCCGACAGTCCCCCCGACGACCCCGACGAGCCGCCCGGCCCCGTGGTGGAGCCGCTCAAGTGTGCGCCCAAGACCTTCTGGGTCAACGAGGGCAAGCACGCCAAATTCCGCTGCTACGTGATGGGCAAGCCCGAGCCCGAGATCGAATGGCACTGGGAGGGCCGCCCGCTGCTCCCCGACCGCCGCCGCCTCATGTACCGCGACCGCGACGGCGGCTTTGTGCTCAAGGTGCTCTACTGCCAGGCCAAGGACCGCGGGCTCTACGTCTGCGCCGCCCGCAACTCGGCGGGCCAGACGCTCAGCGCCGTGCAGCTGCACGTCAAAGGTAGCGCCCCAGGGCTGGGGGTCCCGGGGCTGGGGCCTGACCCCCAGAGACCTCTGAAGCCCTTCCTACTCCTCCCCCCATTAGGTGCCCAGCTGCCTTCATTGGCGGGGGGGGGGGGTGTATGTGTGATTAATTAGTATGATTACCCTGTTCCTACCTGCCAAGGGACACGGATTTAGTGGGATTCCAGGATCCCCTGGAACTTAGCTGACCACCAGTTGATTCTGAAGGCAGGATGGGGTGGTGGTGGATGAAGTCAAGGAATGGTTGATGCAGGAACCGTGGGAGACCTAGAACTCACTGTTTTCAACCTTGGCCATTTTAGTCCTCCTTCCCCAACCGAATTTCTACTGGTAGCTCCAATTTGTAAGAGATTTAAAAGAGCGTTGAAGCTGTAATCCTAGCTTCTCCTGAGGCTGAGAGCTGAGGATCACAGTTCCTAGTGCAAAGATAGTCCTAGCAGAAAAGTTTACTGGTTATCTCCAATTAATCAGTAAAAGGCCAAATGGTAGAGTTTCAGCCAGTGAGCCTAAAACGCCAAATGAAAGCACGGGGTTCAAGCCCCAGTACCACCCCGCCCACACACACACAGAGCATTTGTCTATAAATTTATAACATGCTCCTTTAAGTCTAATCAGTGAGAACAGAGCGCTGTTGTATTGAATATACACATTTGGAGTAGAGGTTGTTTCGCAGTCTCCTCTGAACTTTTGAGGAAAGCCCTGGGGACATCACATAAAAAGAGGTAGGCTTGACAGAGGAAAACTATCCTGCAGTTTTCAGCTATTCTTTCATTAAACTCAGGTTTGAAAGAAGAGGAAGGTGAAGGAGAAAATTATGTCACAGTTGAATCATCAATAATATCTAATCTATGCTTAGATTATTCATAAGCAGAAAATTCAGAGGAAACAAAAACTCCTCAAACTCACACTAGATGCTAAAGTTCTCTATAACAGGGTTTTTTTTATCACAAATCGAGGGATTTCACTTTTACTAGTTATTACTCAACTTTTCTCCCTCTCAGGAAAAAATGTTGGCAAATTTTCTTGAGCCCTGCCTAGCGTGTAGTCAAGCATGTAGTACCTGGCTATCATTGTAGCCTTGTGGATACAACTTGGTATGCACAAACTTGCCAGGCCAGTGCTGAATTGGATCAATGTCAAGAAAGAAAAGCCCAGTGGGAAGGCAAGAGAAACTTCCCAGAGCAGTATATAAGAACTTGCTTCTCTGGCAACCCAATTAACCCTCTGTTTTCCTATTTTTGAAACACAATTTTGAAAACAATTAGAATTATTTCAAAACTGGCATTCAAGCCCGGCACCAGTGGCTCTTGCCTGAAATTCTAGCTACTAAAGAGGCTGAGATCTGAGGACCAGGTTTGAAACAGTCTGGGCAGGAAAGCCTGTGCTCTTATTGCCAGTGAACTACCAAAAGCACTGGAAGTGGCACTGTGGCTCAAGTGGTAGATCACTAGAGCAAAAAACCTCAGGAACAGTGCCCAGGCACTGAGTTTAAGCCCATGACTGGCAAAGAAAGAAAAAAAAAGGAAAGAAAGAAAGGAAGGAAGGAAGGAAGACAGAAAGAAAGAAGGAAGGAAGGAAAGATGACATTCAATTCATGCCCTGGTAGACTTTGTGAAGTGCCTCTGAGGGAGTTGAAAATCATGAATCTGGAATGAGTATATGCCTGCCTAGGCAAGTACAAGACCCTGAGTTCCAAACCATAGAAAGGGAGGGAAAGAAAGAAGGAAGGGAAAATAATGAAGGAAGGAAGGAACTTGCTGATCTACTCCCACCCCTCTACCTTTCCCCATTTTACAAGTAAGGTGATGTGTCTAGTGAGCATCAGATAAGAAGTTAGGCCATCTGATTTCCCTTCTGGGTTTTGCTCCAATCCCATCTGGCTGCTGTCTCTAGAGAAAGCAAACAGCCTGAGCCAATGTATGTTGAGCTGTCTCCCTTTTAAGGTTAACCCCCTCTCCAGAGCCTTCTCTTTGCTCTCCTCTTTCTGCAGAGCCCCGCCTCCGATTCACCAGACCCCTGCAGGATGTGGAGGGGAGAGAGCATGGGATCGCAGTGCTGGAGTGTAAAGTACCCAACTCCAGAATCCCCACAGCCTGGTTCCGCGAGGACCAACGACTGCTGCCCTGCCGCAAGTACGAGCAGATCGAGGAGGGCACTATCAGGCGCCTCATCATCCACAGGCTGAAGGCAGATGATGATGGCATCTACCTGTGTGAGATGCGGGGTCGAGTGCGCACCGTGGCCAACGTGACAGTCAAAGGTCAGCCAGCCAGTGGGAGGACTTCAAGGCTGAAGCTGTTAGTGTCTCCACCCTGGGCTAATGGATTCTCATCTACATCTCAGGCCCCATTGTCAAGAGGCTGCCCCGCAAGCTCGATGTCCTGGAGGGAGAGAATGCTGTGTTGCTGGTGGAGACTCAAGAGGCTGGGGTTGAGGGCTGCTGGAGCCGAGATGGGGAGGAGCTGCCGGCTACTTGCCAGAGCAGCTGTGGCCACATGCATGCCCTGGTTCTTCCAGGGGTGACCCGAGAAGATGCTGGCGAGATCACCTTTAGCCTGGGCAACTCCCGTACCACCACTCTGCTCAGAGTCAAATGTGAGGGCATGAAGGCCTCTGGACAGGACAGCCAGGGTGGGAGGGTGACCAGATGCCAGTGCCTGGGTTGGTAAAGTAGATTTCATGGGAAAGGGGTGTGGGGAGAAGGGACATAAGCCAGGCTCAGCGGGTACAGACCCTGCCTTTGTCTCAGGCATCAAGCACAATCCTCCGGGCCCCCCAGTGTTGGTTGAGATGTTCAAGGGCCATCAGAACACGGTCCTGTTGACCTGGAAACCACCTGAGCCACCCCCTGAGACCTCCTTCATCTACCGGCTGGAGAGACAGGAAGTGGGCTCTGAAGACTGGATCCAGTGCTTCAGCATTGAGAAAGCTGGAGCCGTGGAGGTGCCAGGGGACTGCGTGCCCTCGGAGGGAGACTACCGCTTCCGTGTCTGCACCGTCAGTGAACATGGCCGGAGTCCCCACGTTGTGTTCAATGGTTCTGCTCACCTCGGTGAGTCCACCTTTTCAGACCCTGCCTGTCTGTGGCTGTCCCTAAGTTATACCTTCCCATCACTTCTTGACCTTCAGTCCCTGTCCTCTTACATCCTTCCATCTGCCAATTCCTGCCCTCTGCTACCCATTCTAATGGTCACACCCTGTTCCTACCTCAGTGCCCACAGCTCGCCTGGTGAAAGGGCTAGAGGATGTGCAGGTATACGATGGGGAAGATGCTGTCTTCTCCTTGGATCTCTCCACCATCATCCAGGGCACCTGGTTCCTTAATGGGGAAGAGCTCCAGAGTAATGAGCCGGAGGGCCAGGTAGAGCCTGGGGCCCTCCGGTATCGAATGGAACAGAAGGGCCTGCAGCACAGACTCATCCTGCAGGCTGTCAAGCACCAGGACAGTGGGGCCCTGGTTGGCTTCAGCTGCCCTGGCGTACAGGACTCGGCAGCCCTCACCATCCAAGGTTGGTGCTTGTGGGGACTTGAGTGGGTAGATAGGGTTAAGACACAGCCCTGTTGACCAAACATGGCAAATACTATGAACAAGGAGAGTGAGGAACCATGATGGGCTCAGCTTGAGGTCCAGAAGTATAGTACACTGTGTTACCTTAGTAAGCATCATATTCCAGTTCCCTGGAGAGCTTTGTACTTAACAGAATTTGGTCATATTTGTCATCTCCTACAAAAGCTGTGGGTCCTGGGACCCTGTCCTTGACTACTTCCTGTTCTGTTATCTAGTTGCCACTAATCTGTTGTCTATAGCAGTTTCCCATGAGCCACACATAATCCTAACCACTTGATGTAAACTCATTAATCCTATAAGATAGGGTCTTCTGTCATTGAGGCACAGAACAGCTAAATGACTTGGCCAAAGTCACAAAGATATGAGTGGTAGTTCTTTTGTTTATTTGCCAGTCCTGGGGCTTGAACTCAAGGCCTGGGCACTGTCCCTGAGCTTCTTTTGCTCAAGGCTAGCCCTGGACCACTTGAGCCACAGCACCACTTCCAGCTTTTTCTGTTCATGTAGTGCTGAGGAATTGAACCCAGGGCTTCCTGCATGCTAGGCAAGCACTCTACCACTAAGTTACATTCCCAGCACCCTGAGTGGTAGTTCTGGATTATGAACCCAGATAGTCTGATTCCAGAATCCCTCTGGGCCCCCTTTGAAACAGAGAGGACATGAAGCATGCTTAAGGACGGTTGGTGGTATGGGGACTAAAACTTTAAGGAACACTGAGGCATAAAGCTTGTCTTAGTTCATTTTCTTTACAACAGAATACCTGATGCCTGTGCTTTGTAAAGGAAAGAAGTTAGTTTAGCAGTTTTTGGGAGGCTGAATTGTTGGAGACCAGGCAGCCCCAACTGCTCAGCCTCTTGTAAGGGTCCCCGTTGGCTGAGTCACAACATGGTAAAGAAACAGGAAAGGAAATAGCTATGTGTAGAAGAAGCCAAGCACAGCCTCTTTACAACAACCCACTCTCTTAACCTACTGGAGTTCCATGAGAACTGCATTAATCACTTCCAAGGATGATACTTCTAATGATCTAACTCCCTCCCACTGGGCTTCACATCTCAAAGGTTCCACCACCTCCCAGTACTACTATACTTTTTTCCCCAAGGTGCTAGAGGTTAAACCCAGAGCCTCATGCACATACAAGGCAAACGGTCAACCACTGAGCCACAACCCCAAACCTATTTTTAATTTATTTTTATTAGCATACATTAGTTATGCAGGGAGGGATTTCTTTATGGCATTTCCACTTAAATATTCCAGATCAATCTCATACCTTCTAGTACTGTACTTTCTCTCCCTCTTCCTAAAACAATTTCAACCGGTTCCATGGTTATTTTCATAAATGCCAACAGTCTACTTCAACCATATTCCTCCTTATTCGCCCTCCTTGTTTGTCCAACCCCTTGCTGCTCGTGCCCACCACCATAGCCTGTTTCTGTGTGTGTGTGTGTGTGTGTGTGTGTGCACCTGTAAGCACACACACACACACACACACTCGCGCATATACACATGCATACGTGCCACTACTGGGACTTAAAATCAGAGCTTTGCTCTCTTGCTTGGCTTTTTCTCTCCAGGCTAACACCCTACCACTTGGGCCACAGCTCCACTTCTAACCTTTTGTTGATTAACTGGAAATAAGAGTCTCAAGGAATTTCCTGCCTGGACTGGCTTTGACCTGCAATCCTCAGATCTCGGCCTCTTGAATAGTTAGGATTACCAGGCGTGAGCCACCTGTGCCTGGACAGCTTGTTTCTCTTCCCTTCCCCGCCCCCAATCATCTGTTGATCAACAGCTTTCCATGAGGTTCTTTATGCTGTTTTCGTGTGCTGTTGAAATGTATTTCAAGATTTCACCCTGTCTTTTTGCCTCTTTCTTCTCTTTCTCTTTCTAAATAGTCCCTTGATTGGATACCTACCTGTTCTAAGTGTGTATGTGTGTGTGTGTGTGTGTGTAACTACGTATATATGGGTATATATACTTATGCAGATGTCCATGAATATGTATGTATTTTAGGTCTATCCTCCATATATGAGGAAAAACATAGGATATCATGTTTTTTAGCTTGGCTTGTCTCGCTCAATATGCTATCCCCCAACAGTTGCTTAGATGGCAGTTTTCTTCTCTGATGTAGCCACCTCCATAGTGAGCACATGCAGTGAGGAGAGGGGTGCTCATCTGAGACAGAGCAGACTGAGGCTGCACTGCGTGATCGGACTTCTCCCCACACAGAGAGCCCAGTGCACATCCTGAGTCCCCAGGACAAAGTATCATTGACCTTCACGACCTCGGAGCGGGTGGTGCTGACCTGTGAGCTCTCACGGGTGGATTTCCCAGCAACCTGGTACAAGGATGGGCAGAAAGTTGAGGAGAATGAGTCGCAAGTGGTGAAGAGGGATGGGCGCAAACACCGTCTGATCCTGCCTGAGGCCTGTGTCCAAGACAGCGGCGAGTTTGAATGCAGAACAGAAGGAGTCTCAGCGTTCTTCAGCATCACTGTTCAAGGTCAGGAAGGGCACTGTCCTGTGCTCCTCCAGCTGAGGCTGATTCAGGGCCATGAAAGCCCCTCTGGTCTGTCTGTTTGGAGAGAAGGGTTCCCTGACATGGAGGCCTTGGTGGGCCATGATACATATTTTATGTCTCTGTGCACTTGTATCTTTACCCTCTCCAGTGTCAACACCCTCTAGTACACTTGCCTTCTCCCCACTTTTCTCTGCTGAGCTGGATGAGGAAACTAACTACTATTAATGAAAGGAGAAATGGGGGCTAACATTTTATTGGGTACCTACCCTGAGCCTTGTGCGGTACTAAGTACTTCATCTGTATACTCTATCATATTCAAACAAGATGAGGCACCATGTATCTCCAGCTCACAAAGAAACAGGCTCAGTGAGATAATGCAGCTTACTCATTATCACATGCAGCTAGCATGAAAGCCCAGATTTCACACCAGGCTTGGCTTTCTGCTGGAGGAGGACAGGTCATACACTGTTGAGGCCACTGGTCTGGTGGCTTTCGTGAGTCCTTCTCTCCTAGTGCAGACTTGTGCCTCCTGGCCTCAGGGTCAGTTTGGAATTTTGTCTCTCATGTGTGGGATGTCTATGTGATCCATCTTTGCTCCCCATCCAGACCCCCCCGTACATATCGTGGACCCCCAGGAGCATGTATTTGTACATGCCATCACCTCTGAATGTGTCATGCTGACCTGTGAGGTGGACCGAGAGGACGCCCCTGTGTGCTGGTACAAAGACGGGCAGGAGGTGGAGGAAAGTGACTTCATGGTGCTGGAAAATGAAGGGCCCCGTCACCGGCTGGTGCTGCCCACCGCGCAGCCCTCTGATGGGGGCGAGTTTCAGTGTGTTGCTGGAGAGGAGCGTGCCTACTTCACTGTCACCATCACAGGTGGGGACCAGAGGGGCCAGAGCCACTCCTGTGTCACTCTTCACCCGTTACCCTCTCCCTAGCTGTCACACCTCCTCCCTTCCCTTTCCTGAGCGTGGTCTAGCCACACTGGGGAAATACATTGTTACGAGCACTGGCTAGGTATGTCACCAGAAAAGCTCTGCCTTCTCCATTCTTCTGGAGATCCCAGTCAGCAGTAATCTTTGGGGTTGGCAGGTCTGTTGCAGCACAGATGGTCTCAGGCACTAGAGGGGTCAACAGGGTCATACCATCCCTGCTCCACCCATACAAACATGGGCCCCACTCTGAAGCCAATGGCAATACAAAGCTGATGTGTGTGTGTGTGTGTGTGTGTGCGCATGCGTGCGCACGCACATGTGTTGGTACTGGGGCTTGAACTCAGGAACTTTCACTTTTGCTTAGCTTTCTTTGCTCAAGGCTAGCTCTCTACCACTTGAGTCACACTTCCACATCTGGCTTTTTCTGGGTAATTGGAGATAAGTCTCAGCTTTGTCTGCTCAGACTGGCTGTGAACTGTAGACCTCAGATCTCAGCCTCCTAAATAGCTAGGATTATAGGCTTGAGCCACTGGCCCTCAGCTGTGATGTTTGATGACTATTATCGTTTGTTTCCCTAGCTTTTTTTATTATATATTTTTTATTGTAAAGATATTGTACAGAAGAGTTACAGTTACATGAATAAGGCAATGAGTATATTTCCTATCGAGCATTGTTACCACCTCCTTTGTTTTTCCCCTACTATCCCTTCCCTCCCAACCTCCCCAACTCCTCCCTGACCCCAAAGTTGTAAAGTGCAACATAGTGTCTTGTACATTTCCATTAGAAAGAATGACATTGCCTCATTTGTTAGGAAATGGAAAGACTTGGAAAAAATTATATTAAGTGAAGTAAGCCAGTCCCAAAGAAACATAGGTCCAGCCGGGCGCTGGTGGCTCACGCCTGTAATCCTAGCTACTCAGGAGGCTGAGATCTGAGAATCGCGGTTCAAAGCCAGCCCGGGCAGGAGAAACCGTGAGACTCCTATCTCCAATAAACCACTAGAAAACCGGAAGTGGCACTATAGCTCAAGCACTATAGCTCGCCTTGAGCTGAAGAGCTGAGGGACAGCGCCCAGGCCCAGAGTTCAAGCCCCACGACCGACAAAAAAAAAAAAAAAAACATAGGTCCCATGGTTTCCCTTATTTACAATAACTAGCATATGTCTAGGAGAAGTAGAAAAGGTCAAAAGCTATATACATAATGACCATGTAAGATGATGCTAAGCAAAATGAATCCCAAGATAGGGACACGAGGTTTTATCTTTGTTGCTATTGTTTTTAATGTACTTATAATTTGCTATGTGATTTTTTTTTTTTGCTTCTTTTGTATGTTGTTCCCCTATGGTATAAGCCCTGTTTTCACTGTTTTTGATTCCGGTGCCCTGCATCTTGTATATACATTTTTCTAATTTGAGGAGGGGAAGGGAAATAACAAAATCCCTAGCTTTTGATGGTTGTATTCAGAATACTGTGAGCATTTGTCTAAGATTGCTGTGTACTACTACTTGACCAACTTCTGAGGCGAGGGAACAGATGTGAATCGGGAAAGCAGAAGGGCATTCCAGCCCAGCCTCCTGTGCCCTGCAGATGTGTCCTCATGGATCGTGTACCCCAGCGGCAAGGTGTATGTGGCAGCCGTGCGCCTGGAGCGCGTGGTGTTGACCTGTGAGCTGTGCCGACCCTGGGCTGAGGTGCGCTGGACCAAGGATGGTGCGGAGGTGGTAGAGAGTCCAGCACTAGTCCTGCAGAAGGAGGACACCATCCGCCGCCTGGTGCTGCCCGCCGTCCAGCTTGAGGACTCCGGCGAGTACTTATGTGAAATCGATGACGAGTCAGCCTCCTTCACCGTCACGGTCACAGGTGTGGGCCCACCCTCGCTCCCCAGAGTCGCCAGAGGGCCACTCTGAGTCCTGTGGGGAGGGAGAAAGGGGCTGTGGGGTACATATACCAGGGTCTCTGCTGGGGAAAAAAAAAAGTCTGGTGCTAAGGCTAGGCTATGCTGTGCTTCACCAGCTCACTGAGCATTGCCTTGGCCAGATGCGGGGTCATGGGCTTGACCAGCTCGTGAGTAATACAGGCTCGGTTCTGGTTCTCTGTCAGGGGAGGGGTGGGGAGGGGGCGCTGCCAGTCTAGAGGGGGAGGCAGCTGTTAACCAGGGGTCGCAAACAGGCAGTCCCTTGACAGCCCACAGATGTGTTTTGTTTGGCCTGCAGAGTCTTACCAAAGTCAGGACAGTTCAAATAACAATCCGGAGTTATGCGTCCTCTTGAAAAAGCCGAAGACCCGACGGCTCTGGTCTCGCTTCCCCCCATGGCGACGAACAGCTGGCACTGAGTAGCAGCTTCCCCATATATGGGCCCCCCTTTCCTCTGTCCTGCCATCTGCTATTCCTTTTTTACCTCTTCCCACACTGCTTCATCCATTGACTGCCCTGCCTGGCCCCTGTGGGTCTTTTGAGTTTGCGACCCCTGTGTTAAACAAATAAACACACGAATAAATGTGCAGTGACACCTCGTGATAAGTGCTGTGAGGGAAGAGGGCTCAGCCCAGAGAGCAGGGGAGACGCAGGCAGGGCCTGGGAAAGAGATGCCATTCCATACACAGGTCCATCCCTGGGCCAGGCTCCAGTCATTCAGCGGCATGCAGACAGATGAGATCACTTCACTCACAGAGCGCACAGCCTGGCAGGAAAGCTGCGTGCATTAAAGACTCACACTGTGTGCTGGCTATGGTCACTGTAGGAATCTCAAGGCTATCCTGGTTAGGAGGTAAGGAGTACCTTTAGAGCCAACACTGAAACGGGGAACAGAGAATATCCTAGGTGGGAAAAGTACAATTATGGAAGTGATAGGTCTGTGCCAGCGACTTCAGGGCTGTAGCTCACAGTGCCAATCTCTGTGTGTTTAGGCAGTTCTGGGTGGCCAGAAGAATTCAGTTCCGATAGCTGGCTTGGATCATCCCACTGTTGGCCTAGTCCTGTTGCCCTTTCCCTGACCTCCCTAGGAACAATGGCAGGCTGAGCTGTTGGGGACCTTATTCCCTGCCCCAGACAGTGTAGCCTACAGTGCCACATTCTGTCATGTATAGATGCAGCCATCTTCACCTGCTCCTGTCCCACACAAATTCCAGCTCACACGGGTTTCCCCACAAAACACCAGACTCTTCACATGCTGTTCACACAGACATCACCAGAGCAGATGAAACCCATATCTAGCTGAGGCCCCAGTGCTGTGCAGGCATCCCAGTCCATTTGTTACCCCCTAGCACACCTCTCCCATCATCACATCCTTAGGCGGCCACCTTCTAAAGTCTCCTGGTCTTGCCAGACCCCAGAGAACAACTCTACACTCTCCAGACTCCAAATCAAGCCCGGGGAAGGCTGTGTGAACTCACTAGCATGGTGGTAGTGAGTTCAACGAATTGTGTGGGTGAATCTACCCAGCCCTCCACACTGTGAAACCCGAGACCAGGAAGCTAGCAGTTCTCCAGCCATCCACAAGGGGGCCAAAAATGCTCAAATCTGCTAGAGACTTGAGGATCCTGGGGGCTGTTAAGAGTGTTGGCAGATCTGAGTTCAATGTGCTGGTCACCTGCAGTATTGCTTTGGCTTCCTTTCTATGGAGGAGTAACCTGAACTTGGAGATAAACTCTCAGAATCAGCATGTTGCGTCCCCGGGGAACACTTAAACAGATGTTGGCAGCTCACATGCACAGATGCAAAAACATTCTGAGTTCCTGCAAGCCTGGGCTAGTGAATCCCTGTTACTGCCTGCAGAGTAGGATCCTGCCTCAAACAGATGGTATGCCTTCCTCTGGCCCTAGAGGAGCTGCAGCCAACTGTGACCTTAAGAACATTGCTTTCTGACTCTGTGCCTTAGTTCCTCCATCTGGAAAATGGAGGGAACATAATAAATACCTAGCCCCCAGGGTTGCCGTGAGGGTTCAGTGAGTAGTGTGCTCAGTACTGATCTCAGAGCCTGAGGGAGTGTTACACACTGTTCAGATCCACCGTTCCTCGCCCACAATTCTGAAATGCAGAATACTGGCAAAATCAAAAGGCTTCTTTTTGTATAAGTTTAGTGTTCAAAGTCATTTCAGCAAAAACCTGAATTTAAGTGCTGTGAAGCTATTTCTACTCTTTAATTATCCAGTAGGGTTAATCTATCTGTATCTTTACATCAATAAGAGATGAGCAAACCCTTCACTATATCCTGCTTAGGGTAAATCGTTACACTGCAAAATGTTAATGTGATTGATTGTGGTGAGAAGAGCTCTGGAAGGGGCTGAGGATATGGAATACATGAGAAATGCATCACTTCTAGAATCTAAAGCATTTTGGATTTTGCAACCCCCCTGGACCCAAGGATTTAAAGACCATCATAGACCTTCAGTTGCTTATTATGATACTTGTTACCCTTATTATTGCATGTGTGGCAGCGACTTCTTGTCACCAAATAGCTCCAGGGAGGCTGACTTTGGCTGCCTTCACTCTGCAGAGCCCCCAGTTCGGATCATATACCCCCGGGATGAGGTGACCCTGATCGCCGTGAGCTTGGAGTGTGTGGCGCTGGTGTGTGAGCTCTCCCGAGAGGACGCGCCTGTACGCTGGTACAAGGATGGCCTGGAGGTGGAGGAGAGTGAGGCGCTGGTGCTGGAGAGCGATGGGCCCCGCCGCCGCCTGGTGTTACCCGCTGCCCAGCCCGAGGATGGGGGCGAGTTCGTGTGTGATGCTGGAGATGACTCTGCCTTCTTCACGGTTACTGTCACAGGTGGGCAGTTTCTGGGGCGCTCCCAGGAAATAGACAGATGGATTAAAGGACAGACACCCAACTATTCCTTCTTTGGTAGGGGCTAGTTGTAACCTCCTGACAGTGTCCCCTGCTTCCCAAGCATCATAGAACCCTGATTGCCCCAAATCAAGTTGGGACAGAGACACAGGCCTATAGGGAGAGATCCTAGCAGTTAGGAGTCATTTAGTCACCAAATACTTAGCGAGCAACTACTTTGTGCTTGGTACTACTCAAGATACGAGATGTTCCATAGTAGCTGGACACTGGTGGCTCAGACCTGTTCTAGCTACTCAGGAGGCTGAGATCTGAGGATCATGGTTTGAAGCCAGCCTGGGCAGGAGAGTCCATGAGACTCCTCTCCAAGTAACCACCAGAAACCCAGAAGTGGTACTGTGGCTTAGCGTGGTAGAGGGACAGCACCTGGTCTGGGGAGTTCAAGCCCTATGACCAGAAAATCAAAGTTCAGTAGTGAACTAACGAGCTAAAACTTCCTGCAGCTACATGCCTTACATTTTATTGGTGGATAGACAAGGGAAGTGGTGATAGATAAGCCCGTCAGAGACCAAAGAAGGAGAAAGGGAAGGCAGCTGAGTGGAAGGGCGGGTTGGGATATGATCTAGGTGTGAGTCTGACCTCCTCTGTCTGTGTGGCCTTGGGCAAGTCACTTTCCTCTTTGGCAACCTCAGGTCCTCATCTGTGAAGTAGTGGGGAGGGGCAGGGAGGGGCCTGCTGGCTGAACCCCTGTGGCTCTGTCTCTGCCCACCTACCAGCCCCACCAGAGAGGATTGTGCACCCCACGGCACGCTCCCTGGATCTGCAGTTTGGGGCTCCAGGGCGTGTGGAGTTGCGCTGCGAGGTGGCCCCAGCAGGGTCCCGGGTGTGCTGGTACAAGGACGGACTAGAGGTAGAAGCATCGGATGACCTGCAGCTGGGGGCAGTTGGGCCCATCCGCACCCTCACACTGCCCCATGCCCAGCCTGAGGATGCCGGGGAGTATGTGTGCGAGACACGCAATGAGGCAGTCACCTTCAACGTCAGCCTGGCTGGTGGGTGTGCTTGGCCAGCCCAGGGCGGAGAGGCTGGGGCACACACCTGGGCTCACACACCTTCCTCTCTTGGTGCAGAAACCCCAGTGCAGTTCCTCGCACCAGAAACAGCTCCTAGCCCGCTCTGCGTGGCCCCTGGGGAGCCGGTGGTGCTGTGCTGTGAGCTGTCGCGGCCTAGCGCCTCTGTATCCTGGAGCCACAATGGAAAGCCCGTGCAGGAAGGCCAGGGCCTAAAGCTCCAAGCCGAGGGACCCCGCCGCACGCTCTGCATCCTGGCTGCAGAGCCAGCCCACACAGGCCTCTACACCTGTCAGTCTGGAGTAGCTCCAGGGTCCCCCAGCCTCAGTTTTACCCTCCAGGTAGCTGGTGAGTATAATCTGGCCAGAAAGCTTGGAAATACTCCCTCCTCCTCCCCCCCAGCACCTCAACCCTAGGCTTCCCGGCTTTCCTAACACACCCTGTCCATCCCTTGCCCCTCTGCTCAGCACCTTTCCCTCTTGCCTCCTGCTACCCTCCTCCGGTGCCTGTCTCCCAGTGACGCCCAGCTCTGACCCCACAGAGCCCCCCGTGAGGGTGGTGGCCCCTGAGGCAGCCCAGACGAGGGTTCGGAGTGCCCCAGGCGGGGACCTAGAGCTGGTGGTGCACCTCTCCAGGCCAGGGGGCCCCGTGCGCTGGTACAAGGACGGGGAGCGCCTGGCGAACCAGGGGCGGGTGCAGCTGGAGCAGGCCGGGGCCAGGCAGGTGCTACGGGTGCGGGGGGCACGGAGCGGGGACGCTGGGGAGTACCTGTGTGATGCTCCCCAGGACAGCCGCATCTTCATCGTCAGTGTGGAAGGTAATAGTGAACCCCCTAACACCCTCTGGGCCCTGGCACCCCAAGGACCACATCCTACTTCTAGGCTCTTCCCATTCTCCCTCTCTGTGTGGCCGACGCTAGGATGCGTGCACAGGAAACATAGCTGAGGAAGGGCATCTGGAACTGACCTGCAGAGGTTCTCCCTGACTGTGTCCCAGGATTTGTAGCACATTAGCCGAGCTATCTAATCTCTGCGAGCCCCAGCTCTGAAATGAAAGCATGGAGCTTGTCTTACAAGCTGTTGTGCCCATCCAATGATATAAATAGGGTAAATGGGCCTGGCTGAAATAAGTTGGTTTTGGGGACATCTCATGACCAACACACACTAGACTCGGCCTTTCCCTAAGGTGTGTTCAGGGATGGGGAGTGAGGGCCTCTATACCCTGAGGACAGGACAAAGAAAGGGAGCTCAGCCAGCTCACAGCCAGATGCCTGCCTCCTCCAGAGCCACCACCAGTGAAGCTGGTCTCCGAGCTGACGCCCCTGACTGTCCATGAGGGTGATGATGCCACGTTCCGGTGTGAGGTCTCGCCACCAGATGCAGATGTCACCTGGCTACGCAACGGGGCCGTTGTCACCCCAGGGCCTCAGCTGGAGACGGCCCAGAATGGTTCAAGCCGCACACTGACCATACGAAACTGCCAGCTAGAAGACGCAGGGGCCGTGACTGCCCGAGCAGGGGGCACAACAACAAGTGCCCGGCTCCACGTCCGAGGTCTGATGAGGACACAGTGTTCCTACCTCTATCCCTACCTCATGGCCCTGGCCTGGCAGCCTCGCCCTTCTGCCGAGCTGGGGCAGGGCCAGCCTGCAGGCTCCATGGCTTCCTCTCATCTTCCCCTCCAGAGACAGAGCTGCTGTTCCTGCGGCGGCTACAGGATGTGCGGGCGGAGGAAGGCCAGGACGTGTGCCTCGAAGTGGAGACAGGCCGGGTCGGGGCTGCTGGGGCCGTGCGTTGGATGCGAGGTGGGGAGCCTCTGCCTCATGATTCTCGCCTGTCTATGGCTCAAGATGGCCACATCCACCGCCTCTTCATCCATGGTGTCATCCTGGCTGACCAGGGCACCTACGGCTGTAAGAGCCACCACGATCGTACCCTGGCCAGGCTCAGCGTGAGGCGTGAGTGCCCTGTCCTCTCCTGACACGTCACCTGCCTTTCCATAGCCTCTCCTGGTGTCCTAGAGTCCCCCTCCTACCCCCCCCACCACCAAAGTGCCCCTTGTTGCTGAGGGAAGTCTGCCCTGGCCATCCCAGTCTGGGGTGGGGCCCAAAGCAGTCTGTCCAAAACGAAAACCTCCTTTTTACCTCGTAAGTCCAAAAGGACTTTGCATTCCCTTTCCTATTTCCTAGTTGGCTTGGCTATAAACGTAAATACTGTACTCCAAAAAGATTCTCTGTGTTTATCCTTAAGTCCAGTCACACACCCCATGCGTACTCATGCTTGTTTAAAAAGCAAGGATGGCTGGCACCACAACCCCAAGCCACATTTTAGCTATGTGACTTCATGCAAGTTACTTCTCTTGAGTCACATAGCCTTAAAAACTAGGCTGGAGCCGAGCACCAGTGGCTCACTCCTGTAATCCTAGCTACTCAGGAAGCTGAGATCTGAGGATCATGGTTCAAAGCCAGCCCAGGCAGGAAAGTCCATGAAACTCCTATCTCCAATTAACTGAAAACCAAAGTGGCGCTGTGGCTCAAGTGGTAGAGTGCTCACCTTGAGCTGAAGAGCTGAGGAACAGCGCCCAAGGCCCAGAGTTCAAGCTCTACAACCAACCAAAAAAAAAAAAAAAGGGGGGGGGGTGCTGATCTCTGCCACTAGGAATTTTAAAGATATTATCACAAAGCTTGATGAATTATTTTGGTCAGCAATACATATTCTCTAATTTAATCATCATAATAAACCCATGTTTCAATGCTATTCACTTTGTACAGTTGGGGAAACTAAGGCCCAGAGGGGTGAAACTGCCCAAGATCATACAGCACACAGAATGTACGGTGCACCTAGGTTCCAATCTCAATGTGTCTAACCCCAGATTCTTTGTTCTTCCATTGTCACAGTACCCTGCATTCAGATCCCAAAATCTCCTAACCTAACTTCACTCCCTTCATATGCCCTCCTTTCCAAACCCCAATACGGTCCTCTCCCAATCAAGTCCAGTTAGTTGTTCTTCCTTCTTCCTGCCTACTTCCCACGTGCGACCTTCTCTAACCAGGGCCTTAGATTGGGGGGTTGAGGGTGGCTCTGACAGGATGAAGGGGGGGAGCTAACCCTTATACTCTCTGCTTAGAGCTGGAGCACCCCATCCTCCCTCTCTCCCCATCTCCCTCATACCAGCACGGCAGCTACGAGCACTGAGGCCCCTGGAAGATGTGGCAGTCAACGAGGGGGGCAGCGCTACCTTCCAGCTGGAACTATCCCAAGAGGGTGTGACCGGGGAGTGGGCCCGGGGTGGAGTCCGGCTGCAGCCAGGGCCCAAGTGCCACATTCACACAGAGGGCCACACACACCGTCTGGAGCTCAGCGGCCTGGGCCTGGCAGATGGGGGCTGCATCTCCTTCACAGCTGATTCCCTGCGCTGCGCTGCCAGACTCTCAGTGAGAGGTGTGGCCTCTGGGCCTACCACTGCCTGCTGATGCCTCTGTGTGACTACTGATCCCATTGCCTGTGTGGCCCTTACTGACCCTTCCTACCCCATTGTGACCCTCACTGACCTCCTAGCCAGAGTGTGAGTCCCCTAACCTGGCTCTGTGTGGCCCTTGTGATTGCCCTAAGTGTGTGTGACCATTCCAGACCCATATAGCCTGAATGTCCCATTCCAGACCCATATAGTCTGAATGTTCCACAGTTGTCTGCCTGCCTGAACATAGTCTGCTGATCACTTTGGAACCCATAGTCCACACCGTCTTCTTGTGGCCCCCTTTGCTTGCCATTGGCCCCTGTGACCATTCAAGTCCCTCCAGGCCTGTCTAAGGGGGACTCCTCTGACAACTCTGCTTGGTGCTCCCATTCTGGTTTCCAATCTGTGTTTCCCAGTGCCTGCCTGCTGTGGGGTTCCCCCCACCACACACACACTCATTGCTCTGCTGAACCCCGCTGTCTTCTGCTACCCAGTGTCCGTTGCTTTCCACTTCAGTCATGTACAATCCCCACTGAAATGCCTGCCTGTGGGTGACCCCTCTATTACCTCTATTCCTGCACTGCCCCCTAGACAGCAGCATGTCCCTCATTGCTCACCTTAAAGAGTGACTCCCTTCGGGCTGGGAATGTGGCTTGGTAGAGTGCTTGTCTAGCATGCAAGAAGTCCTGGGTTTGATTCCTCACTACCACATAAACAGAAAAAGCCAAAAATGGAGCTGTAGCTCAAGTGGTAGAGTGCTAGCCTTGAGCAAAAGATGCTTAGAGACAGTGCCCAGGCCCTGAGTTCAAGCCCCAGAACTGGCAAAAAAAAAGAAAAAAAAAAGAGTGACTCCCAGACGGCCACGCCCACCCCACTGGCTTTCTGGCCTCTGCTGTATCTCCCACTGTCTAGCATCCCCTTTGAGTGACTTGTGTCCCTGCATGTCCCCCACTCACTAGTGGCCTCCACTGATCACTTTTTCTAAATGTGCCTGCCACTGACCCCTTGTGCCCAAGTGTGCTCTTCATATTGCCCTTACCATCCTCCCTTTCCCACCCTCAGAGGTCCCAGTGACCATTGTGCGAGGGCCGCAGGACCTAGAGGTGACGGAGGGTGACACAGCCACGTTCGAGTGCGAGCTTTCCCGAGCCTTGGCTGATATTACCTGGGAGAAGGTCAGAGCCTGTCTGCACAATAACAGTAATAAGGCCTCCAACAGAAACAAGATCCAACCCATAGAGCGGGCACTGCGCTAAGATTGAATCCTTCAAGCCTTACAACAACCCTATGCGGTTATTATGTTTGTGACCCAGGAGGAAACATGCTCAATGGGATGACAAAGAGGCAGATGAAAGGAATTTGTTTGCCTAAATCTAGAATGTAGGCTCATATTCAGTGTGAGTGGTAGGTACCTGAATCTGGATGCCCGGGGCCCCTAGAGCTCCTTCTGGGGCCTAAGGTCCCCACATGGTGACACCAGTCTCAAAGGGGTTTCTGATAGGATGAGGAAGGGAAAGTGTGGGCCAGCGGGGCCGCGGCTGGGGAACACAGATCACCGGTAAATGCTGATGGCAACTGGGTCAGGGCTGTACTAGCCAGGCTGAGCTCAGCCCGACCCTCTGCAACTCCGGTTTACAGGACGGGGGCGAACTCACCCCCAGCCCCCGGCTCCGGCTCCAGGCCCTCGGCACACGTCGCCTTCTCCAACTGCGGCGCTGCAGCTCCTCGGACGCCGGGACCTACAGCTGTGCGGTGGGAACGATCCGCGCTGGGCCAGTCCGCCTGACCGTGCGTGGTGGGTACAGGCCAACTTCGGACCCGGGTTTCCGCTCCCACCCCAGCGGCCCACCCCCCAGGCGCCTCGGGGAGGGGCGGGGCCGGGGCGGGGCCTCGCCGCGCCACGCCCCCTCACGCCCCGGGCTCCGCCCTCAGAGCGCACGGTGTCGGTGCTCCGCGAGCTCCAGTCGGTGCGCGCCCGCGAGGGCGACGGAGCCACGTTCGAGTGCATGGTGTCGGAGGCTGAGACTCCCGGGCGCTGGGAACTCGGAGACCGCGCGCTGAGACCCGGAGGACGCGTCCGCATCCGACAGGAAGGTTAGGCCGCCTTCCCACCCTCTCCCGGCTCTTGCCTCCTGGGTGCCCGGTTCAGGCGGACCCCGCCCCCCGGTAGGCCCCACCCCCAGGCAGACCCCGCTCCACGGTCCCCGGAGCCGGACCTCTCCTGGGCCTCCTGCCCCGCCATCCGCGTCCCGCCGGAGGGCCCCAACCTCATCCCCGGCTGCCCGGGTCTCGCCAGCACCTCCTTAACCTCCAGGGAAGAAACACATTCTGGTGCTGAGCGAGCTGCGCGCCGAGGACGCCGGTGAAGTCCGCTTCCGAGCGGGACCCGCCCAGTCCTTGGCCCAGTTGGAGGTGGAGGGTAAGCTGCCGGTGCCGCCAGGGAACGGGGCTTCGACCGACTGGCGATTGGTCCTGGGAACGCTCCTCCTCCGCTCTCCCCACCCTGCACGGGGCTCCCTTCGGGGCAGGGCACGGAGGGCAGCGCGTTTCCTGCAGACCGGATGGGGAGAGACTTGGGGTTGCAGATGCCGGGGAACCAGATGCTGGGAGTGGAAGCCATAGGAAGGAAAGGAACATCTCGGCTGGGGGCCGGCTGTTAACGCACACCCCTGCTTCCACCCCCAGCATTGCCTCTCCAGATGTGCCGCCGCCCCCCTCGCGAGAAGACCGTGCTGGCTGGCCGCAGGGCGGTGTTGGAGGTGACTGTCTCCCGCTCCGGGGGACACGTGAGCTGGTTATGGGAAGGGGTCGAGCTGTGCCAGGGGGACAAATACGAGATGCGCTGCCACGGCCCCACCCACAGCCTGGTCATCCATGATGTACAGCCTGAGGACCAGGGCACCTACTGCTGCCAGGTGGGCAAGGACAGTGCCAACACGCGGCTGCTGGTAGAGGGTGAGTAAAATGCACTGGGCAGAAGTCAGAGGGGCAGACTAGCTGGCCCGGAAAGGGGAGTACCGTGGAGCCACCAGACTGATACACACCTAAGGAAGGTCTTCCAGGGCTTAGGACAGACTCTTGGCATCCTGGCAGGATTGGAACTGCAGAAGGGGTGTGGGGTGGGGGCAGGGAGCCCACACCAGGGACTGAAGAGGAGTGATTCCTGAGTTCTCAACAACAGGGGTGGAGTGCGAGGTTTGGGTTTGCTGCCTCCTTTCTCATGCTCTTCCATTTCTACTTACCCACCCACTACTGCCTGTGCCCACATCGCCCCCTCCCTGGCTCCTGCCCATCTAAGTTCACCATGAGCCCAGGCAGAAAGTAAGCTAGTCCTGTTTCCCACACAAAATCACCCCACTCTTTTCCTTGACCCCCTGCAGTCCCTTCACAGGGCCTATTCTTTACTACCCTAACTGCTCCCAGAGACTCTAAAAGAATGGGGCCCAGCAATTCCCATGTAGTGTCCAGGCCCTGCTAGGGGGCTGGGGGTGGTGGCACCCACTCTCCCCAAGCCCCACGTGGAGTCATTCCTCTGCAGGTGACTAGGAGACTGAACCAGGCCAGGCGGGTATCCTCGGACAGCTTAGAACGCGTGTGCCCTTCTCCCAGGCAGGGCAGGGAGACATGGGAACCAGAGGTGTTTGGAAACAATAAAAAGTACTGCCGTTCGTTTCCCTGCCTGTTTGTGTGCCTTGGGAAGATGGGCCTTCCCTGGAGCCCCTGTAGTAAATGACCCAGGATCTTGACGATACAGAGCTTCCAGCTTGACCTATGGAAGTACCAACCACTGAACACCACCACTCCTGGCCAAGGCCACAGAGTTTGGCACATTTATAAAAGATGTAAAATAGGGGCGGTGGTGGGGAGACAGAAGCATGAGGTGTCCAGAGTGGTATGACAGACACCAGACATGCACCGTGCATTTGAGCCCTCTCCCTCCACCCTCCTCCCCAACCCAACCCAGAGCAGCATCCCCCACCCCGTTCCCTGCCACTGCCCTCAGGCTGGTGGTTTTGCAGAAGCCAAAGTACCAGGGTGTGGGGGGCTGTGGTTTGCCCTGTGGATAAGGACAAGAACTCTTAGATGAGTAGTTGGAAGGCAGAGCGATCAGGGAGGGAGGCAGGCCTCCTCCATGTAGACATGCAGGAAAGTGGCCTGAGAGTAGCCCGTGGGACCCCAACAATGGGAAAGGAGGCAGGCCAGCCCTGGAGAACCCTACCAATCAGAAATCTAAGGCAAGGGTCCAGAGTCTCTCCAAGCCTACCCCCATGACGCATACACAGGCCACATACTTACAACCCTGAGCACACCCCAATGAGGCTCACACCCCCAGTTCCTTAGGGGCCCCTTGGGAACTTGAGAGTGGTCTTTTCTCTCAGGCCAAGCCTAGCCTGAGACAGATGCCCTCTTCTTGTGGCCAGACCAATTCTCTCCAGAGAGAGTAAAGAGACAGCTGAAGGCCTGGGTAGTGACCTGGCAGGCTCCCACAGCTGGCAGAGCTGGTGACTACAGAGTCCATAAACAGGTGGGGAGACAGTTACACCCGCACAGGGGGGCCTGAGCAGGCTGTCAGTGGCCCCTGGGATCCATACTCATAGTCCGTATCTGTAGGCGAGGCCATGAAAGAGCTCAAGGAGCTCCCTGTCTGCCGGTCCCGGAAACTCTGGATGTAGCTCTGTTGGGACATTAAGCACAGATGTGAGTTCCACTGCAGACCCTACCTCTCCTTACACCCCACAAGTATGATTTTCTCCTTGCCTATACAGACCCAGGAACTCTCCACACTGAATTCATAGTCCAAGACCCCCACCATACACTCTATCCCATTCAAACTCCATATTCAGGACACCTTTCCCCAGCCCCACCCAGGCTGTGGTGCAGAGGTTCTCATAGATAACCACCACCAGTGACCAGCCTGAAGGAAGACCAGTCCTGCCTAGACAGGACTCCCATTTGGGCTGAGGGCTCAGGGTGCTTACCGGGGACAGGACATCTCCATTGAAGCGTTTAATGGGCACTGGCCTGCGTCTATAAGGAGGATCGGGGGGTCCAGGCCTTGGAGGAGCCCGAGCACCTCTGGGTGGAGCTCGAGGGGGTCTCTTCTTCCTCCGCTTTTCCTTGCGCTCTTCCTGCTGTCGAATCCGCATCAGTTGTACACGTCTTCGCTGCCGGCTGATGACCACTGGAGGGACAGACAGAGGGACTTAGAGGCCTACCTGCCTCTTCTCCCCCAGTCCCTCACCCTCTTTCCACAGAGTGGCTTCAGGTTTCCAGATTCCCCTTGTCCACCATTACTTCCACCCTTCTACTTCCTTTCCTGCCTTCCCACCTCCCAGGTGAGACTTCCTGCAGTTCTTTTCTTGTGAAAGTCTTTTGTAAGATTTCTAGTTTTCCAAGTACCCCCTCCCTCCCAATCCTGTGCCATGGGTGATTGGCAGTCCAGCTACCCTCATATTTAAACGGACAGCTTCAGGTCTGCTTCCCCTCTCTGCTGGCTTCCCTCTAAGATTTCTGCACACACCAGAAAAATAAGCATCCCAAACAGCAAGTTGCATTGCATCCTCCCTGGCTTTAAGCCCACCAATGGCATCTCGCTGCCTTCTAAGAAAAATCCGATTCCTCCACATGGTCCAGAAAGCCCACAGTCTCAGCCCATTTCACCTGTATCCTCCAGCCCCATTTGCTCAAACAAGCCAGGCTTTCTCATCTCAAGCTCCCTTTCAGGTCTCTGCTTCTATGTCTCTCAACTAAGCGGCCTTCCTTGACTACCCTAGACTACATAGTCTACCATAAAAGTCACTCTCTCCTATGACCATGTGTATCTCCATGGTACCACTCTGCACAACTGGAATTTCCTTGTTTGCTTTTTGTTCATCTGTCTCTCTCCTACCCTGGGTGTATGCTCATGGAGCAGAGACTTTTTCTGGTAGATTTAGGTTTGTTTTATGGTGCCAGTGATCAAAACCAGTATCCTGTGCATGTCGGGTAAGCACGTTACCACTGTTGCCACATGCTCAATCTCTTCCCTTTTTTTTTTTTTTATTGTGGTGGTACTAGAGTTCAAACCCAGGGCCTTATGCTTGCTAGGCAGGCAGCTGTATCACTTAACTTGAACCCCAATTTTTTTGCTTTGTATCTACAGTATCCATGTGTAGTGTGGCATGAAAGGTCGTACTTGGTGGTACTTGATCTTATCCTCCCAGACCCTGAGCAAGTCAGCTCTCTAACCCCACTGAAGCCCTCTGCTTTTGGTGTGCAGCTTCTGGCCCTTCTCCCCCAACTCCTCAGACCCACAGCCGTCTGCACAGCCCCTTCTCCCATGCTCACCCTAGCCTGTGCCTTCTTACCTTCTGTGTGGGAGTCCCTCTCGGTGGTCACCCTCCACTGCACCAGAACGCCCATCAGGCTGAGCAGGGGCCAGAGTGCCAGCAGGGCCCAGCTCCGCCAGCAGAGGGGGGGTACAGCAGCAGCCCGCAGTCGCTCCACCACATAACGGCCTAGCAGAAGCAGCTCAGCAAAGTAGTCCGCTGCCGTGGCAATGAGTGCTGCCCCTGTCACGGCGGTTGCCAGGGTGGTGAGTAGACGCGGCCAGCGCAGGGTAAGGAGGGCACAGAGCAGGCCGCCCCCCAGCAGCAGCCCCAGTGGGCCCCACACAGAGCCTGGCTGGTAGTAGGGTGCAGAGCCCAGCAGGGCGGCAGCGGCGAGCAGCAGACCGAGCAGCAGCCCCACCAGGAAGAGGCCCACGCTGCGCACCAGCATGGCCACCAGCCCGCAGAGCAGCCCAATGCCTAGTGCGATGCCTGCGCTTGCCCCAGCACTCAGCTGCGTTTCCAGCACCCGCTCTCGGTAGCATAGCAGGAAGATGACCACTGAGCCAAACAGCAGCCCCGTAAGGAAGAGCACTGCCTTGAAGCAACGGTAACCTGCGGGGGGAACAGGGCCAGTGAGAAGCCAAAGTAAGGTCACCTGGCTGAGGGAAGTCAGAGAGTCTGAGAGATGGGGACACAGAGTCAGAACATGGTCACCAAGACAACAGAGAATTGAGGTTCACTGGAGTCGTGATGGCATCAGTGATGGGGATTGGAGGGAGTCAGAGAGCTATATTCATTGGGAATCACTAGGAAAACAAATATGATTATTGCGATAGGGGTCACTGGAGGGAGTCAAGAATACACATGTAACAGGATATTCAGAGTTTGGATCATAGAACACAGTAAAAGTCACTGGAGTCAGAGGACCAGCAATAGAGTCAGTGGGGTCTTTAAAGAAGAACTGTTCAAAGATAGGGTATTTGAAACTCAGAATTGAGATGGGAGGATCACACAGGTTCAGAAAGACTCCGGAATCATCACAGGGTTTCAGAGATACAGCAGTGTTAGAGGAGAGAGAGCTGGTTGGTTGGGGAGGAGTTCTGGAAGATGATGTCTTTGTGAATCAAAAAGACTGATAGAAGTAGAAGTTAAAAAGTTTCTGAGGGGGCTGGGAAGGTGGCTCAGTGGTAGAGTGCTTGCCTTGCATGCCTGAGGCCCTGGGTTTGATTCCTCAGCACCACATAAGCAAAAAGAAAAAAGCCGGAAGTGGTGCTGTGGCTCAAGTGGTAGAGCGCTAGTCTTGAGCTGAAGAGTTGAGGGACAGCGCCCAGGCCTAGAGTTCAGGCCCCATTACCAGACCCCAAAAAAAACAGTTTCTGAGGGGCTGGGAAGGTGGCTCAGTGGTAGAGGGCTTGCCTTGCATGAGGCCCTGGGTTCGATTCCTCAGCACCACATAAGCAAAAACGAAAAAAGCCGGAAGTGGTGCTGTGGTTCAAGTGGTAGAGTACTAGTCTTGAGCTGAAGAGCTGAGGCACAGCGCCTAGGTCCAGAGTTCAGGCCCCATGACCAACAAAAAAAAAAAAAGTTTCTGAGAAGGGGAACACTGAGAGAAATGAGGATATTGAGATCCCAAGAACAATCCACTGGTGGGTGTATAGAGATCAGAGTTAGGAGTGACCAGGGATCTGAGCTTGGAGTCATGAAGGGGCTGAGGGGGATGCATGGTAATGAGATAATGGGGTGAGGTGGAGGGAGGCCATTAGGGCTTATACAGGATCCTAGGAAATTAAAAAGCAGGGTAGAGAGAAATGGTTGAATTGTGGGATTTTATTTTATTTTTTTGGGTCCGGTTGTGGGGCCTGAACTCTGGGCCTGGGCGCTGTCCCTCAGCTCTTCAGCTCAAGGCTAGCGCTTTACCACTTGAGCCACAGTGCCACTTCCGGCTTTTTTCTTTTTACTTATGTGGTGCTGAGGAATCGAACCCAGGGCCTCAGGAATGCAAGGCAAGCACTCTACCACTGAGCCACCTTCCCAGCCCCTGAATTGTGGGATTTTAGAAGAGTTGGTTATAGGGCCAATATACCTAATAACAGTTCCTGAAAGAGTGAGGAAGGTGTAGATCTAAATACTTGATAAGATGAAAGTCAATGAGATCAAGAAATCAGGGTGAGCCAAAGAGACAGACAATAAAAAGATGATTGGTTCCAAAGTGAGGGTAATGGAGTCCAGGAGTTCTGGGGTCAGAGAGAGACCAGGTTTAGACAAGGGCTCAGAGTCTAAAAGCAAGAACATCAAACAGGGTTGGATATTAAAGGGCTGCAGAGAGCCATGCAGAGGGAGTGGTGTGGGCAGTGGAAAAGGAAAGGTCATACAGACTCTTAGGGGCCCCCTTAGGAGGGGCACACCCTCCTGCTCACTCTTCAGGTATGTAGCCCAGAGTTTGGAGGTAGAAGGGGAGGAACCATCTGACTCCCACCACATCTGCCCGCCCATTCCAGGGGGAGATATACATGTTAGAAACAAATCTTTCCAGTTCCCTGCCCAAACCTGCAGCCTACTTTGTTTGCCACCACCTATTCTGGCCACTTAAAATCCTTATGCTGTAAGCTTTCCTCAGGCCCCTAACTCTAGAACCCATTCTCCTATCTGAAGTTGTGTAGCTTGCTATAGAATCCCTAGGCACTTACCCTGAGCTGCCATTAACTCATTAGGCAGCATTGTGGCAAGTTAGAAAAAGATGTACTTTCTTTTTCTGGACCTGGGCGCTGTCCTTCAGCTCTTCAGCTCAAGACTAGCGCTCTACCACTTGAGTCACAGCACCACTTCTGGCTTTTTCTGCTTACGTGGTACTGAGGAATCAAACCCAGGGCCTCATGCATGCAAGACAAGCACTCTACCACTGAGCCACCTTCCCAGCCCCAAAAGATGTACCTTTCTCTAGGTACAGCAGCCAGTACCGAGGCCTCAAGGTTAACAAGTGGAGCACAAGCTGGATTTTAACACCCATCTGCCTATTCAGTTGAGCTACCTTACACAGTACCCATCCTGTCTAACTCACTTTTAAGACATTTACCTTTGTAGACCAGGCTGGCCTTGAACACTCAATCATCCTCCTTCAGCTTCCCTAGTGCTGGGGGTTCACATGTGTGCACCACCACACCTACCCCACCCCCGTACAACTCTTCACAGCAGCCTTCATTACAAGTCTGCCTTGTAGGCGATTGCCATGTGTGACTACATCCAGCCCACTCTAATATGTATCACAAGTGTGAATATTCCAGGAGTCTCTCCCCCGTCATACAATATGCCCTGTTGTAAAGGACTATGTTTAATCACCCTAAGCGTCTTCAGTGCCTGCCTAGCAGTATCCAAACACATCTTCAAGACAATAGCTATCTATTGAGTGCCTATTGAATCATATGCCTACTTCATGTAAGATAAAAAATCATTGGTCCCTTTGTTCTGCTGAGAAAACTAAGGCTCAGACAGGTTGATATGCCCAAGGCATCACAGTTACAAACTTACAGAGCCAAGTTCAAATTCAGGAGGCCTGACTGAAACACCTGTGTCTTCTAGAATTTAGAGTGTAGATACACGACAACCTTGTTAGATTACAGAGAAAAACGATAGCTATTTCATGGAGGGTGTCTGGAGATTTGGGGACCCCATAAAAAGGACTTAGGGAAGCAGTTAGGAGTTTAGGTGGAGGATGATGGGGGGGGGAGCTCTCACCGAAAAAGCAGTAGACGATTCCAAACAAACAGCACATGATGCAGACGAGGGCCGGCAGTGCCTGGTATCTGCGCTCCAGGGGCTGTTCACAGGGTGCGCCCCAGAAGGCATCATCGGGTTCAGGGGGCAGCAGCTGAAACCGCAGTGTCTCCATAGTGCCTGGCATGGTGCTGAGACCCGAGGGGTGTCACCCACCCTGGTCAACCTGACAAGGAGGAAGTTGGGGGTCAAGGAAGAGTCAGTTCTGGGTCCCCACTAGGATGAAAGTGGCAGTGGGAGAACTCCGGCAAGGACACGGTGGACAAAGGAGTGGTGCCCACATCACGCTGCTCTGAAAGCATCCCTGGAGTGGGGAGCGAAGACAAAGGGAAACACAAGTGCCTCGTTACAGAGGGCTGGGGAAAAGTTAAAATCGGCTGGGTTGGGGGGAGGATGAGGGCAGCGTGCTGCCGGCGCGGCGGCGGCGGCCAGGATACCCATCAAGGGGGGGAGGCTGAATCTGTCATTGTCCAAAATCTACCTGGACGGGAGGCGATCTGAGCTTCTGAGCGAGAGAGGCTGTGCAGGGGCCGGAGAGGACGGGGTTGAGGGGCGCCAGAGACTCCCACGGACTGGGGTCCGGGGCAAGTCCGCCGTGCGGGGAAGGGGGCTGCTGGGCCGGAGGGACCGGTCCCTGGGCGACGGCGGCGCCGCTCCACCTCCTACACCGGCTGACACTGAGGTCCTGCGGCGTCCGGGGCCTCACGCGGGGTCCGTGGACCGGAACGGAGCAGGAGCAGGGGCTCGAGCCGCCCCAGAGCCGCGGCCCCATGCCCTGAGCCCGCCCGCGGCCTCTGGTGCTGATGGACAGCTCCGGCCTCTGCTCCTGACGTCACTCAGGGCGCACCATCCAGGCAGGGGCGGGCAGCTTCTGACGTCACGCGGGACGCACCAACCACGCTGAGGGAGTCTGGGGACTCCGCCCCCGCCGTCTTCCTCTCCGGCACGAAGGAGGGGGCACTTCCGGGGGTCCTTCCCTTCCCCCCCCCCTTCCAACCTCCCCCTTCTCCTCCCTCTCCGGTAACTGGGGCCGAGGTCCCGCCCCGGGGGCGGGGTCCTAGCAGTGACACGTCGGACCCTGGCGGCCGCGGCTGGAAGCTCCGGCCCCCAGGGCAGCTGGAGGGAAGTCGGAGCCACGCTCGGGAGAGTCGGCTCGGGCCGCTGGCTGCGCTCGGTGAGGGGGGCGCGGGCTCGTTCGCGGGGCCCGGGCCCTGCGGATCCGCCCCTTCCCCGGTCCCGCCCCCCTCGGAGCCTGCCGGGGCTGCTCTGGGGCTGCGCGGGGGCCGGGGGCCCGCTGTCCGGGCGCCATGCGGGCGTCGCTGCTGCTGTCGGTGCTGCGGCCCGCAGGGCCCGTGGCCGTGGGCATCTCCCTGGGCTTCACCCTGAGCCTGCTCAGCGTCACCTGGGTGGAGGAGCCGTGCGGCCCGGGGCCGCCCCAACCCGGGGAGTCTGAGCTGCCGCCGCGCGGCAACACCAACGCGGCGCGCCGGCCCAACTCGGTGCAGCCTGGAGCTGAGCGCGAGAGGCCCGGGGCCGGCGAAGGCACCGGGGAGAACTGGGAGCCGCGTGTCTTGCCCTACCATCCGGCACAACCCGGCCAGGCCGCCAAGAAGGCCGTCAGGTACTGGATGAGCTCCACCCGCCCCACCCCCTGGTCACCGGCCGGGTCGCGTGCGCACGGGAGTCCCTGGGGGCCGGGTCAGGCTCCGGAAGGAAGGGGCTTCGCGGGCCAGGAAGTCTTTGAGCCCGATGACTTCCGATGGCTTAGCCTTACCGTGAGCTGTAGGGCTAGTTTGGGTCTATCCCTGCGTTTCATGCTGGCCTGAGCTGAACTCGCCTCTGTGCTAAACCGGCTCCACCTGGTGGTCCCCCAAAGGTCCTCTTAGGATCCTAGCTGGTCTATTGGAATTATATTAAGTGAGTATATAAAGAAAAAGAAGAGAAGTGAGATTGACCTCCATCTCATTCCTAGATGGGTCACAGGGGCCACCTCTGGGTGAGGCTGGAGAGGCAGGACTGTGCCCATGTACTGGGATGTCTGCCCATGAGTTGAACTAATTTCCCTTAAGTAATAGGAGAGTTCATATTCCAGATCTTCAACTACCTTCTGCCTTAGAAAGGTGAATTGCTGTCATAGTTTGCCCTCCTCCAATACATTCAATACAAATCTGTGCCATGTATTTTCTTATTCTACTTATGTGATATACTTTTGGTATAATGGTAGCATATTTATATAGAAACAATCATGTAAATGATGCACTGAGGAATTGGTGGCTTTAAGCAGAGAGGATCAGTTCTGTCTTACAGAAGGCTTAGATTAAATAATGTACTCAAGAATATGACTAAGTAGGGGCTGGGAAGTGGTAGAGTGCTCACCTTGCATCCATGAGGCCCCAGGTTTGATTCCTCAGCACTACATAAACAGAAAAAGCCAGAAGTGGCACTGTGGCGCAAGTGATAGAGCAACAACCTTGAGCTGAAGAGCTGAGGGACAGCACTCAGGCCCAGAGTTCAGGCCCCACGACAAGAAAGAAAGAATACGACTAAGTAGTGAAAGCAGGACTCCGACCTGGTATATTTCCCTCATATCTGCATGGATATTTCCCTCTTCCAAAAGTATAACACCTATGTTCTTAAGAGGTCAGACTTGTGCTTAAATCCTGACACTACAAGGAAAAGTTATTCTCATCCTATTAACTGATGAGGAAACAGGCCCAGAGAAAATAAATGTATTCATATGTACGTGTGTATGCTCTCTCCCACTGCCCTGTTGGCATGTGTATACGTGTGTCTGTGTGCACACACATGCATGCCAGTACTGAGGCTTTCATTCATGTCTTATATTCTCACTTGGCCTTTTCACTCAAGGCTGGCCATACTTCTAGTTTTTTGTTGGTTAATCAGAAGTAAGGGTCTCTTAGACTTTTCTGTCCAGGCTGACTTCAAACTGCAATCCTCAGATCTCAAACTCCTGAGTAGCTAGGCTTACAGGCGGTAGGCCACCAGCACCAGGCTCTTTGTCTTTTTTTTTTTTTTTGTACTGGTCCTGGAGCTTGAATTCAGGGCCTGGGCAATATCTATGAGCTTTTGTGTTCAAAACTAGTGCTCTACCACTTGAGCCACAGTTCCACTTCTGACTTTTGAAGTTAATTGAAGAATATCATGGACTTTCCTGCCCTGGCTAACTTTGAACCACTATCCTCAGATCTCAGCTTTCTGAGTAGCTAGGATTACAGGCATGAGCCACCACCACCAGGCTCTGCCTTGTCTTTTTAACAACTCTATGCTTTCTGTTTTCCCAGGACTCGATACATCAGCACAGAGCTGGGCATCAGGCAGAAGCTTCTAGTGGCAGTTATGACCTCACAGGCCACATTGCATACACTGGGTGTGGCCGTGAATCGAACTCTGGGGCACCGGCTAGAACGCGTGGTGTTCCTAACAGGCGCTCGAGGTCGCCGGATACCTTCAGGAATGGCAGTAGTAACATTGGGTGAGGAGCGGCCTATTGGACACCTGCACCTGGCATTACGCCACCTGCTGGAGCAGCACGGAGATGACTTTGATTGGTTCTTCCTAGTGCCTGATGCCACCTACACCGAAGCTCATGAACTGGCACGCCTAACTGGCCACCTCAGTCTGGCCACTGCTACCCATCTCTACCTTGGCCGGCCCCAGGACTTCATCGGTGGGGAGCCCACCCCAGGCCGTTACTGCCACGGAGGCTTTGGGGTGCTGTTGTCACGCACGCTGCTACAGCAGCTGCGCCCCCACCTGGAAGGCTGCCGCAACGACATTGTCAGTGCACGCCCTGATGAGTGGCTGGGACGCTGCATCCTTGATGCTACTGGAGTGGGCTGTACTGGTGACCACGAGGTGGGACCATCAGCCCCCCTACTAGGCCTCCTATCTGAGCTGGCTCACTTCCCTTCTCCTGCATAGAGAAGCAAGAGGTGACAGAGTTATAGGCCTGGATTTCCATTCCAATTCTGTCATCTTTGTCCCTGTGACCTGGGGGAAATTGTGAAGTCTGAGCTGTAATCCCCTCATGCATGCCAGTGGAAATAATTATTACCCAGAGTTATGATACGAATCAGAGAAAATAAGGGAACCTTGAGCATAGTAGATGGTCCATGTTAGTTACTATTTTATTTGTGCTTCATGAGCATCTCTGAGGCAGGCTGCATTTCCAATTCACAGGTGAGCAGGCACACAAGCACAACTGGCTATGGGAGACTTAAACCCACAGAAAACCCAGTCCAGACATAAAAGTTCATAAGAATTTTTTTTTTTCCTAGTCATGGGGCTTGTACTCAAGGCCTGAGCACTGTCCCTAACCTCTTTTGCTCAAAGCTAGCTCTCTACCACTTTGAGCCACAGCTCTACTTCCAGAGTTTGAGTGGTTAATTGGAGATAAGAGTCTCATGAGGGCTTTCCTGTCCAAGATGGCTTTGAACCACAATCCTCAGATCTCAGCCTCCTGAGGAGCTGGGATTATAGGCATGAACCACCAGCACCCAGCTTCGTGAGACTCTTATCTCCAATTAACTACCAAAAAACTGGAAGTAGAAGCTGAGGTTGAGGTCTGGGGATTCAAGCCAGTACTAACAGGAAAGTTCATGAAAGTCTTATCTCTAATTAACCACCAGAAAACTGGATATGGCACTGTGGTTTAAAGTAGTAGAGCTCTATCCTTGAGCAAAAGAGCCCAGGGACAGTGCCTAAGGTCTGAGTTCAAGTCCCACAACCAACAACAACAAAAAAGTCTTGGAATTCAGCAAAGATGAAGGGAAATCAGTTTCATCATTTTCTCCATTGTGGACTCCTCCCATTACTTTCCCCAGGGGGTGCACTACAGCTATCTGGAGCTGAGCCCTGGGGAGCCTGTGAAAGATGGGGACCCTCGTTTCCGAAGTGCCCTGACAGCCTACCCTGTCCGTGACCCTGTGCACATGTACCAGTTGCACAAGGCTTTTGCCCGAGCAGAGCTGGAGCGCACATACAAGGAGATCCAGGAGTTGCAGGTATGATCTAGAGGCAGGGGAGAGGGGTAGAGGGGATATCCCAGTGGGAAAAAGAGGTAGTACTAGAATCACAGAGCAGGCCTGCTTCTGAGTCTGTCTGTTTTCATCTTCTCCAAGGAGCCATCAGAAATCCCCCTTTTTGGCTGCTTCCAGGCATGGAAAGGATGTGGGAGGAGGGGAACTGGGTGGGCAGAGACTGGCAGCCGGCAAGGGGTTTATCCTGAGTGTCACTGAGTGCCTACATAGACACCGCCCCTCCCCCACCCAAGCTATAGGCTGTCCCAGGGACCTCCTCGTTCATGGCTTTTTTTTTTTTTTAATTTGTCCCAGTGGGAGATCCAGAACACCAGCCAACTGGCAGCTGATGGGGAACGGGCTGCTGCCTGGCCAGTGGGCATTCCAGCCCCATCCCGCCCTGCCTCACGATTTGAAGTCCTTCGCTGGGACTATTTCACAGAGCAGCATGCCTTCTCCTGTGCCGATGGCTCACCACGCTGCCCACTGCGTGGGGCCGACCGGGCGGATGTGGCTGATGTTCTGGGAGCAGCCCTGGAGGAGCTCAACCGTCGCTACCACCCAGTCCTGCGACTCCAGATGCAGCATCTGGTTAATGGCTACCGTCGCTTTGATCCGGCCAGGGGTATGGAGTACATGCTAGACTTGCAGCTGGAGGCACAGACCCCCCAGGGTGGCCGCCGGCCCCTCACCCACCGGGTGCAGCTCCTGCGGCCTCTGAGCCGCGTGGAGATCCTGCCTGTGCCCTATGTCACTGAGGCCTCACGGCTCACTGTGCTGCTGCCTCTGGCTGCAGCCGAATGTGATCTGGCTCCTGGCTTCCTGGAGGCCTTCGCCACTGCCGCCCTGGAGCCTGGAGACGCAGCAGCCCTGACCCTGCTGCTGCTGTATGAGCCACGCCAGGCCCAGCGGGCGGCCCATGCGGATGTCTTCGCACCTGTCAAGGCCCACGTGGCAGAGCTAGAGCGGCGTTTCCCTGGTGCCCGGGTGCCCTGGCTCAGTGTGCAGACGGCTGCACCTTCCCCACTACGCCTCATGGATCTACTGTCCAAGAAGCACCCACTGGACACACTGTTCCTGCTGGCCGGGCCAGACACAGTGCTCACTCCTGACTTCCTGAATCGCTGCCGCATGCACGCCATCTCTGGCTGGCAGGCTTTCTTTCCCATGCACTTCCAAGCCTTCCACCCAGCCGTTGCTCCACCACAAGGACCTGGACCACCAGAGCTGGGCCGTGACACAGGCCATTTTGATCGTCAAGCAGCCAGCGAGGCCTGCTTCTACAACTCGGACTACGTGGCTGCCCGTGGGCGGCTGGCCGCAGCCTCAGAGCAGGAGGAGGAGCTGCTGGAGAGCCTGGATGTGTACGAGCTGTTCCTGCGGTTCTCTAACCTGCACGTGCTGCGAGCCGTGGAGCCAGCCCTGCTACAGCGCTACCGGGCCCAGTCGTGCAGCGCACGGCTCAGTGAGGATCTGTACCACCGCTGCCGCCAGAGTGTGCTGGAGGGCCTCGGCTCCCGAACCCAGCTCGCCATGCTGCTTTTTGAGCAGGAGCAGGGCAATAGCACCTGATCCCCACCCTGGGCCCCTGTACCCTGGCATGGCCTCGCCTTGCCCCACTCCTCCCCAGCAACAACCCGGAGTCAGCCTGCCAGCCTTACTGGACAGGAGTGGCTGCAGCCTCAGACTCCGGGGCAGCCCCCTAGTCCTGTCTGGGTTGTAGGTCCCTGGACTCAGGACAGCCATGGGGAACATGTCTCCCCCCACCCAGCCACCCCTCTTGACCCAAGCCTAGTCTTCCTGCCCTCTTGACGCTGCTGATTCAGGCTGTGGCCTTCGTGTATTTATGCAGTACTGTCTGCCCGCCTGACGCCAGCCACACCTTCAGGGTCTTGTTCTGGAGGCTGGGCTGCAGATGAGTTGTTGGAGAAGGGGGAGCCAAGAGAAAGGAGGAGACATCTTCTCCCTTCTAGACCCCCTAATGAAGTGCTCTGCCTTTAATAAACTGGCTGAATGTGGACTGGTAATTGGAGTTGCTGGAGAGTTGACTGAGAATGGAGGGGCCAGGCCTTGCTTGGCCTACATTTCATTTTAAAGGGACCCAGTCACCCAGATGTCCAGCCCCGCCCCAGAGCACGTGCACGCGCACGCTGGGTCACACACATAACAGAGAATTCTTTATGCCTCTTTATTCCCAATTTCATCAGCACTTTATAAAACCAGTCTGGAGGGAGAGAAGCCTGAGAAGGCTCCCTTCCCACCCCCAAGCCCAGCTAAGGTCTGAAAGGTCTCCTGTCCCCCCTGTGGCGGCAGGGACTCCGGTGGGGCCGGTACAAGGGGCATTGGGAGCTGGGCCAGGCCTGCTGGGCCACCCACCCACCCCGTGCCAAGAGGGGTGCTGGGCCTGGCGAGCGGGAAGTAGAAACCAGCCCAGCATGCCTGAGGACCAGGGACCTCCCCTCCCTTCTGCTGATATTAGGGCTGGGACCGGGGCTGTCCCCCACTCACCCACCCGTGTAGCCCCACCCACTTACATCTGTGCCCCACCCCCACCCCGTCTTCCCTTAAATATATACAAATGTACAGAGGGGCCAGCCATGCCAGGATGGCCTCCACCTCCCTCCCCCTCCTCCCCTTCCCCAGGGGCCCTCCCCAGACACCGGGCTGGGGGTAGGGAGTGTGGACAAGAAGGACCCTTGTGCAAGGCAGCTGAGTCCCGGTCGGGGAGCAGGACTGAGCCGGGTCCTGTCAGTGAGCACCGCCCCTCCCCTCAGCCCTGGCGGCCCTACGCCTTCTGTCCTAGGAGCAGGAGGTGTGTGGAATCCTGGAGGGGTTCCAGCCTCCTGGGTCCTTGGCCACACAGCACCATCCTAGCAAGCGAAGTCTTCGAAGAGGCCTCCTGGGGGGCCATGGGGGTGGTGATGGTTGGGGAGCAGGCCACTAGCCCCCCCTCCCTCAGCATGGCCCCGACTTGGGCAGGGACTCTGTAAGACGAAGAGGGAGTGGACCAGGGGACTCAAGTGGTGCCCTTGAGCCTCACACAGCTTTTCCTTGTTTCCCGAGCACCCCTCCCACAGGTTAGTTCAGAACTCGGGGTTGGGGCATGTAGGTTCCGGGGAGAATGCACTGACTGCGGTTCTGGGCTGGGGGCTGTTGGTTCTGGGGGGAGTGCGCTGACTGCGGGCTCTGGGCTGGACATGTCGGTTCTGGGGGGAGTGCGCTGGCTGCGGGCTCTGGGCTGGACATGTCGGTTCTGGGGGAGTGCGCTGGCTGCGGGCTCTGGGCTGGACATGGGGGAGTGCGCTGGCTGCGGGCTCTGGGCTGGGGCATGTCGGTTCTGGTTCTGGGGGAGTGCGCTGGCTGCGGGCTCCGGGCTGGGGCATGTCGGTTCTGGGGGAAGTGCTCTGACTGCGGGCTCGGTTCATCCTCACCTGCTCCTTCAGCTCCTGCAGTCCCAACGTGGAAATGCCCCCAGTGGAGGTCCGAAGAGGCGTCTTGGGCCGGCGCCACACCCGCTTTAGCCGGTCCCAGGACACCTTGGGGAGTCAGGGTGGGGGTAGCAGTGGGCTCAAGAAATGTGGCCGAGCAGGGAGGGCCTTAGCCCACCCATCCAGCTACTCAGGAGACCCACAACAGAGCTCCCCCATTGTCCAGGCCCAAACCCAAAGGGCTTCTGACTCCTCAGCAACCCCCTGCCCCGCCCTCTAGTGCCATCCGGAGATGGCACCAGTAGTAAAGCCCCACCTTGCAGCCAACCAGGAGTAGACATTGCAACCCTCCCCCCCCCCCTCAGCCCCAGCCTTTCCCACATCAGGTGCTCTCCAGGCCCCTTGCCTCATAGATGTAGTCAAGGATCTCCAGCAGGGTGAGGATGCTGGCCCCGATGAACAGCCCCATCTGGCCCCCAAGGTCTCCTGGGGAGCAGAAGGACAGGTGAGAGAGAGTAGGCAGGGCACCTGATCTACCCCAGGTAGGTGGGGCCAGGGCTCACCCAGCAGAGCCGATAGGCCATAGGCTGCTCGCTGCTCCATGGCTTCAGATGTCAGGGCCTCAAAAAAGACATCTAGGACCAGGAAGTTCTCCCTGTGGAGACAGGAAGCAGGTCATCTGGGTGGGGCTGCTCTTCACAGCAGCTGGCTGATAGGTGCATTCTCAGGTCCAGCTGATTGTGATTTGAGACCCTCCCCCCCCACCCCTGTGGGTTGGAGCCTCAGCTGTGTGGTAGCTTCCTAGATTTGAGGGATAAGTAGGGGCTAGAGGAATAAATTTTAAAATCTCTGGGTCAGGCACCGGTGGCCACACCTGTAAGCCTAGCTACTCAGGAGGCTGAGAGCTGAGGATCGAGGTTCAAAGCCAGCCTGGGCAGGAAAGTCCATGACGCTCTAATCTCCAATTTACCACCAGAAAACTGGAAGTGATGCTGTGGCTCAAATGGTAGAGCACTAGCCTTGAGCTAAAGAGCGCAGGGACAGCACCCAGGACCAGAGTTCAAGCTCTACGACCAACAACAACAAATAATTCTGGGACCTTAAGTATCGTCCCCTGCCTCCTCTAAAGTACCAGTTTTCACATATCTCTCTAGAACTTTCAGTGGCTCTCTATTGCCTTTCAGTTCATTCTGAGATTCCTGTTCTCAGCTTTCAAGTCTGCCTAGGACCTGTTTATGGCATCTTCTTATCCAAACTGCTTCTCAGCCACTACTGTCCTCCTCCTCCAGCTCCACACCACACGTCTCTAACCTGGCTAGCTCCCTCCTCTCATCCTCTCAGGGACCCAAGTTCAGGGTCCACATGGGCTCAGCTCAAGTCTCTCCTGCTTCCTCTCACTGACCAGGGCCAAAGACTCAGGACCGCACGCTGAAATGTGGCTTGTTTGAAAATTGTGGCATAAGTTTCCCTAGGGGACCCAGATAATGCTCAGCATTGGTTGACTGGATGCAGGATGCCCAAGTCCAGGCTTCGTGTGGCCTCTCAATTCCTTTCCCAACCTTCCCATGAGTGTGTGTGTGTGTGTGTGTATCTCTGTGTCTATGACTGTGTGCATGCACATGTGTGTGTATTGGTACTGGGATCTGAACTCAGGGCCTGGATATGTTATCCCTTAGCTTTTTGTGCTCAAACCAATTGGAAATGAGAGCTTCAGGGACTTTCCTGTCTGGGATGGCTTCAAACCTCGATCCTCAGATCTCTGAGTAGCTGGGATTATAAGCATGAGCCACCACACCTGGCTCCATCCTCTTGCATCTTCCTTTCCAGTTGAACATTGTTCCCTCAACTAGCCTGAAAGAGCTCCCAGTTTGCAAGGGGGAAAAGACACGAAAAGTTCTAAAACAGAGACATCCATGCAGCGGCAGAGATTTTACAAGGTGCTGTGGGAAGTTCCGAGGAGCAACATTTGAATCCATTAGGCCTTCCTTGGAAGTAGACACAACGTACAACTTGAAGAATGGGTAGTTAAGGGCTGGGAAGGTGGCTCAGTGGTAGAGCGCTTGCCTTGCATACCTGAGGCCCTGGGCTTGATTCCTCAGCACCACATAAGCAAAAAGAAAAAAAGCCGGAAGTGGTGCTGTGACTCAAGTGGTAGAGCGCTAGCCTTGAGCTGAAGAGCTGAGGGACAGCACCCAGGCCCAGAGTTCAGGCCCCACGACCAGAAAAAAATAATAATAATAATTTAAAAAAAGAATGGGTAGTTAACAGCAAACCGAATTCTTGGTAGAAGACCCAGCATACCCAAAGATCAGCCACTCCCATTTTCCTCCATGAACCAGGACTTCAGAGGGCAGCCCCACCCTGCCCTGCTGCCCCCAGGCTGTAGGAAGCCACATACCGTATGTAGGTCTCATTGCGGTTGTACTTCCTCGCCAGGTACCTGGCAGAGCCCCTGTTGGGTATCCTGACCATGGAGATCTCTTTCCCATAGCGGGTCAGGTTGCAGGGAGTGGGGCAGAAGCATGGACCCTCTGAGCCTCCACCAAGGGAATCTGCAATACAGAGACACCAACTGCAGAGGGGGAGGGGGATCCACGGGCCTTCCGGGCAGCAAGGAGGGTCTACAAGGGCTGTCCTGCGGCAGGCGTAGCCATTCATAGGGACAGACCTGGCACTTCCTAGAGGATGCTGGCCACCTCCCCCCAACACATCCTGACTGCCTTTACACTTCCCAACAGATCCAGTGTAGACAGAATCTTCAGATCCCCTCTCCTCCCCCCTCCTTCTGCCCCTAGCCCCTTGGAACAGGGAGGCCTCCTGGCTCAGAAGGCTGTCAGAGCCCATCTGTCAGACCACACAAAGGCATGGCGAGCATGCTGGGAGGGAGGGATGGAGGGAGGGACGGATGGATACACAGGTGGATACGTAGATGGACAGGATTCACATGCTGGGTGCGCTGTCTTTCTCTATGTAGCCCTTCAAGTCCTTCTCCACTCTGCCTTGCTTCATGCTCCAGGAGACTGATTTCTGCCCAACAACCCATCGCCTTGACTTCTTTGCCCTCTGGCCTTGAGTTGGGCAGGATCAGAGGGTGGGAGGCAGAGATACTAGTGTATTTCTTCCCCTGCTTCCTCACTGCCAGGCTGAATGTAGATTGGCAGAGGCCGCATTCCTCCTCTTGCGGCCACACTGCCATCAGTCAGTCTGCTCAGACAGCCCCAGGATTCCACAGTGCCCCCTTTCCTTTCTCCTTTTCGGGCCTGAGAGAGTGAAGGCTCCCTGGTGTGGAGAGTTCTGTGAACTCTCCACATCTTTTATGGCTCCTTCAACCCTGATTACACGTCTGTTCCTTCACTGAACATCCAATCACTCCTTTGATGGGTGCAGGTGGATGCCAATCAGTCTTGCTAGCATCTCAAACCCACTGCAAATCCTCAGGCCCTACCACATCTGGATTACTGCAGTGAGCACAAGCTTGCTGAAGTAATGGTGTAATTAATAACTTCAAGTTCTACCCACTCTCTTCATGTCATCAGTTCACTGTCAGAAAATCAGATGGCTTTCCTGCCGTGCGTTAAGCCCTTACTGGTGTCCCAGAG